TCAGCTTCGAACTTGGGAACGAGAGAGGCGTTTTACGCCCACTCAACGGAACGAACCTGCACATCGTTCGCAGTTTCTTGGAGCCCCAGCGGAGAGGAAGCATGCTTAGACTCTCAGAATCGAAAATCAAACGAGGAAGCTGAAGCAAAATCTGAGCGACTTGGAGTTCAGTCTCATGAAAAGCCATATGAGCGAACGAAATAGGAAAATTTACAGCTGGGGAACGAACGAGAATGATAGATTGAGAAGAATAGTTGAGATATATATAAAAGGAAAGGATTGAGTTACTTGAGCCTGACGCTAAGCTATAGAGGAGTCCGAGCTCAATGAGGAGAAATTTAGCGCGCTAATTAGATTCCACTCACTTTCAGTGATCTTTCACATTTAATGTGCATAACTGTAAGCTTTAGGCAAATACCACGCAAAATTTGCTTAGTTTTGTTGTGGGCCCACTTTTTATTGATCAAAATCAAACGGTCTTCTTTAATTAAAGCTAAGCTGCTCAGGCTGTTGAAAATGTATTATATCAATAATTTTAATTATTTAGTTGAATAATTTAATTATTGTGAATATAAATTCACCAGTAGAATTTTTATTTTTATTTTTTAAATTTAAAAGAAAAAAATGAATTCAAATGTACTGTTTAAGTAATTTGATAAAATTCCTTGTACATCAAGTTCTTTATACCCATTATATCAAGTTCTCTAATAATATATTACTATGTGTTTTATTTTTTAAATGTTAGTATTTAATGACGATAGCACCATGGTTGAAGCATAAATTGGGGAAAAAATTGGAAAAAAAAAGATGAAACTATGGCGAGTGGATCCAATGTCGGCGTACTATATTTCCGCCCTTGGACAATCCTAGATAGATGCTTGGGCCTTTTACTTAGTAGAAAGATACTATCTCCCGTCATTAATATAAAAGTTAATTGACTAATTTGAATAGATAGGTGTTATCTTTCTTAAAATATCTTGTAATCATATGTATTAGTTAGAACTGTCATTGGATAAAACTTTTAATATATGCAACTATTATAAGGATTACTTTAAACAAAATGGATAAATATGACAATGGCACCATGACTGAAGTGTACGTGCGGAGGTTGTAAATGCGATATGCAAGAACAACTTCTAGAGATGAATGAGCGGGATCAGCTCTATGACTTTGTGATGGGATCAGACGAAACATTTGGAGCTGTGAGAACTCAAGTACTTAGCACAGAGCCTACAACAAGATTGGGCAATGCGTAGCTTACCAGCTGGTGGCAGAAGACGAGCAACGTAAGAGAGGGCAAATATGAGCCATGCGTGGGAAAACCAGTCATTGAAGAGGCAGCATTCCAAGCACAAACCACCAAAGGCTACTCTGATCGGAGAGATCGCAAACGGGACAAGTCAAAATGTGGACATTGTAAAAAGACTGGGCACATCTACTCCGATTAAGTTAGCAAAGCACCTCAGTCGTCAGGAAGAGCAGTAAAAGCACACGAATCATCAGCCAGGGGAAAATATGGCAGTAGCCCTTGGATTATAGATTCTGCAGCCTAGGATTTGGGAGCCACAAGTATAATGAGAGGTAAATTCGCAAACAAGATTTATTTTAATATAATTTTTAATTAAAACACATACCACAAGAATTGTTTCAAAATATTCTTTAACGACGTTATCAAAATGGCAAAATAGAAAGAGTGGTTAGAATATTTTACTTTTCATAATATAACTCACTCGAAAGTTATTTATTACCACTTATCAATTTTACCTCTATTTATTGGTTGTATAATTTGGTCATTGAGAAATAATTAGAGGGGTGTGAGGTGCATGTTTGAATGAGGAAAAAGTTGAAAATTTATTTTAATTTAAGATAGATTTAGTGAGTTAATTTAGTTTTGGTGAGGGAGTTGAAGAGGGGGTTACGTTTTGGAGGGAACAAGTACAAGATGTATATACTTAATTGTTTTTAAATTTGGAATTTCCAAATTTGTTTGACCAAAAAATTTATCAATTTAATTTACATATAATTAATTAATAATAGATGGAGTAGAGAAATATTTCATATTATCTATAAATTATTCGATAAAATAATTTGAAAAAACATTTGAAAGCATTTTCAACTAATTAAAGAATCGCTAATACCACTACTTACCTTTGGTCAAAAAATAATATTGTTTAGTCAATAAAGAGTGGGCCCACCTACTAAAACTTCGGAAGATATTTGCTGACGCTTGGGGTCTCACGTGCATTGACTTTGACTATAAGTGAGATCGATCCCTGAGTGCGAGGTGCCCTACCCCCACCGATCGAAATTAACCACGAATCCCTTCCTTTTGCTCTCACGACTCAAAATCATATTTCGTTAGTTCGCTCCTGATATGGCTTTTGATGAGACTGATGAACTGGAAGTCGCTCGCATTTTGCTTCGATTTCCTATTTTGATCGACCATTCTGAGGCTCGAGGCATGTTTCCTTTCTCCTGGGGCTCCAAGAAGAAGCCATCAATGCGCAGGCCCACTCCGCTGAGTCGCCGGAAAACGCCTCTTCCGTTCCCAAATTCCAAGAACATCAGAAAAATCACCCTGAAGAGGTCATCAAAAACATCGCAGAATCATCATCATCATCATCATCGGAATCCCTCCTCGAGACTTGTTGATAATGACAGAAGATCGTCGCAGAGGAAGAAGGTCAAACAGTCTTGTGCTGAATCTTCAGGTCCTTTTCTCCTCCCTGATCTGAACGTTCCTCTGTTGACCGGAGAAGAAGAAGAAGAAGACTGTACTGGTACCTGTGAAAGCAAGGATGGAATAAGCCCACGCTCCGTCTCGGCGCGTGATGAAGATGGAAGAAAGCGTTGCTGTTCTGCCAAGAATCTCATTGTCCGAGTCAAATTCGGTTCAGATGGAAGAAACGATTAGGATATGTGACTGACTGTAATTAGCTAGGGTTTCGTTTGTAGTTAATTCCTTATTTTGTTCATTAAGGGTTTATCACGTAACTACCATATGATTGCAGCTTGACCCTCCATTAATTATTTGTGCAGATACAATTTTGTTTTGCTGACTGATCAGTTACATAGAGGAGCATCATATGCTTCTCTCTTATTTTTGTGTGTTTATAATTACGTTTATGTTTTATGATAGATTCATGCTTCTATGTTGGTTTGATTAGGTTTTCTTGAGCTTCGCATAATTGGTAGTGCGCAAAGAACCTAATTTAATAGACACCCACTTAAGACCAGTAATATTGGCTAACCAACCCGCAAGCAAGTTGGCTTTTCTAATTAGGAATTCAATTCACTCAATGATTCCCAATAAATTTCTTTTTTTTTTGGCAAGAATGTTTTCTAACCAGCCTTCACATTATAGCTGATGGATGGTCAAATGTACCCTCTAGGTGATCAACAATCCACCACTAGCAAATCGATCAAAAAGGATCAAGTTAAGGGGACAGTAGAGGAAGTCTGAAACGATTAGGGAGGTGCAACAGTATCCTTCCCTCTTGACAAAATTTACACAACAGGCTAAGCAAAAAAAAAAAAAAATTTTTTTTGACCGAAAAAACTTGTTCGAATGGGTGTAAAAGCCAAGCAAAAGGTGAAGTTGACACCTCAAAAGTTAATAGTTCCACTCATTGATCCGGTTGTTGTCGTGAGATTAGCAATCTTGTGAGTTGCAAGGAATGAGCTAAATAGCATGTTAAATAACATGTTATTATCTCTGATTCTAATTATAAGACTTCGTTTATAGACTATAAATAAGCTGTTATAATTAGGATCAGAGGTAGTGATTTTTACTTAGTTTCCTTATTTTCTTTAAATTAATTAAGTGGCTTCTCTAAAGACGGGAGAAGTATTTTTTGGGACTTACCATTATGTATAAAGGGTATGTGCTTATTCAGATTTATTTCCAGCACGTTGTATAGCAATAGCATGTATCTTAAGGGAAACTATGGCATATCTAATTACAAATAATTGGCTTGAACTATAAAAAAAATAATGATAACGCAACCTGTCAATTATATTTATATCAATAGAAAATAAGAATAAAATGAAGTTATTTAGCTGGTGGCCTTGGCCTGTGCCATAATGTCAGTAAACTTATAATGGTTTCTTATAAATTTACTATTTAAAATAAAGTAAAATTTAAAAAATACAATATAATACAAAAACTAGTCAGCAACCTTTTCTTAAGAATTTCTGTTATTTGAAAAATAAAATAATTTGTAAACTGGTTTGAAAACAGCTAATTAGGATCAAATTTATAATTATTATTTATTATTTATTTTCATATACTATTTTTTATACTTTATAATTATAAATGTAAACATTAAAATAAATAAAATAATAAAATAATATTGCATCAATTATATTTTACACCAAACATTATTATAATTAAATATTTTTAAAAATAAATGAAAATATTTATTATTATTAATATTTTACCATATTTAGTAACTTAACAATATACTTTGCTGCTAATTTTCCTATTTGTGATGAGGTAATTAAAAATGAGTCACGGAGCGTCTGTCCCTATAAATTTTACCACCCATGTTTGTGTGTATATATCAAACACAACAAAGTTCCTCAAAATGTCTCAGAAAGATTGAAGAGCTGGTAGCTGGTGATTAGCGAGCAGGAAGGAAGACGTCTTCCCCGTGAATTTATACAACTCAATCAAGAATTTCGCTGCCCATAATCTGATTAATTCCACCGGCGCCGATTACCAGAGTCTGCCGACCTATTTTATCCGTTGTTAATCTCCCCCTGGTATCTATCCTCAACCTTCTTTCATTTCTTAAAGGTCGTCTTGCATTGTGTTTCCGAGATCATTCGTTTCCTTTCGAATTTTCAGATTGCCGTAAGAGGAAGAACGATTCTTTGTGGCATTTCTTGTTCCAAGATAATGTAAAGATTATCCTCGACTGCCATCCCCGACGGTAATTATTAATTACAAAGATTCAAATTCGATAAACGGCAAGAGGGCGGAATTGTCAGAAGGATCGATGATTCAGAATTCAGAAGATCACGCCGGTTCCACTGACCAGCAGCCGCGGCCGGAACCACCGTCTATCTTGCGCCTAAAGGACGAATATGTGGCACCAGAGCACGAAGAATTGGTTCGACTTACTCTCGCAACTGGTTCTAATTACCAGTCGCCACCACAAAAGCCACCGCCTCCTCCTCCTCCCCCGGAATTTCCACCCCATCCGTCTCTTCTACAACTAATGCCTCCATCCTCCTCCTTCGCACGATCATCGGAACCACCGCCTCAATCACAACCCCGTCTTTCTTTCTTACAACTATTGTCTCATTCTCCTCTCAATCACCGGAACCACAGCGTTTCATTGCTTTACCGTCATCCCAGTTTAATAACATCTCTAACTTACAGCCTCTATTCCTTCTAGCGCCGGCGCCACCCATATCACAACTCCATCCGTCTGTTTTACTGCCTTCATCCTTCTCACAGCCACCGGCAGATGAAACATCAGAAGGCCAAGCTCATCGTCGGCCCAGTGCCAGACGTCCACGTAACTACAAGAAGCCAGGATGGGAGCCCACCATAAAGCCACCATATCCATGGGCTTCAAACATTAGGGCAAAGGTTTTAAGCATGGAGGAATTAATATCCAAGAATATGATCGTAATAAGTGGGGAGGTTTATTGTAAGGAGTGCAAGAAGCAGTTCCAGATGGAGTACGATTTGCCATCCAAGTTCTCTGAAGTTGTTAGCTTCATAGCTGGGAATATGGGAGGCATGCATAATCGAGCACCAGATGTTTGGTTAAAACCTGAGGGCTTAGACTGTAAGTTGTGTGATAGAAAAAAGTGTGTTCAACCAGTGATCCCCTGCAAGAAGAGAAACACGAATTGGCTTTTTCTGTTTTTGGGGCAAATGATTGGATGTTGCAATCTCTATCATCTCTGGTACTTCTGCAAGCATAACGACAAACATAGAACTGCAGCCAAAGATCGATTGGTTTATTCAGCATATGCCACTTTGCACTCTCAATTAGATCCCAGCAAAGCTTCTGATCTGTATAATAACTAGCTAGCTTTTGGATCCATGTATGCACTGTTTCTCAAGGTTTAGGCCTTTTTCTTTCATCTTAATGTGCTACTGATACAGTTTATTTTTGGTTTCAATAACTAGCTCGACGCGAGAGCTTCAGATCTATAATTAGCTTGGATACACACACACACACACACACACACACATAAGTGAGAGTATGCTTTGATTTTCAATGTTCAGGATTATTACTCAATGTTTAGGATTAGTACTCACCTGGAAGTCAATGAGGAGATCCATATAAGGCTTAAGGATTTTGATTATTAGTTAATGATAATTACAGGTTCAATTACTCCTTCCGGTCCAACAATATAAGACATCGATTGGCAGAAAATTATGGTCCAAATTGTATGACGTTGTCCACATAATTAATGTGATTTTTTTTTCACTTTTGCCCATATTAAATATAGGAGAGAGATGAGAGAGAATAAAAGTGTAACATTGAAAGCAACTTTGTAATTTTTTAGGAGTAAGATAGGAAAATTTTATCATTTTAATGAATATTTAATAACTAAATTTTCATTTTTTAGAATGTGAGAAAAGTTAACCGACTTTTTATATCATGGACTAGAGGGACTACAACTGCTTTTCAGAAATCGAGTATTTCTCGGTATTGAAGCTCAATGAGTTAGTTATGGCAAGAAATAACTTTAACTATAACTAATGAGTAATGAGAATTACAAGCTGAGTAGTAACAGTTATTTTTCATAAAGGAGGAGGGGGACAATATGATAAATTGACAAGAAATAATAATGTTAGAAAAGATCTTTGGACTACTCTAGCGGTCTTCATATGTCATTCTCGGTTGTCCCTCCTTGTTTGGAATTTCAAAACCAAATTAAACATAGATCTATATGATTTAAATCCCTTGTTAGAATAATATTTAGGATTATAAATTTAATTTGGAGAATTTTCTAATGCTTAACTAAATTCTTTATTCATATACCTACTTTTTTTTTTGGAGACATATACCTAAATTTTTTCACATTTTCCAAGGTTTTATATTAATCTTGAATCATGATATTGGCCTGATAGAACATTGGCTTCGAAGAGGATAGGCTCAAAGAAGATGGGTTTTTATATATTTCTATTGCCATTTCTTTCTTTGTTCGCTTGTAAATTGCTTTGTTGGTCCTTCTTTGATCCAATTTCCTTGAGTCTTGTATTGGTGTTTTGTATTTCGACTCTATATAATGAAATCATATTTGCCGGTAAAATTTTTTCAAATTTTAATTTCCTTCCAGGTAGAACAAAGAGTCTTAAGTTTCAAAATAAACTTTAATTCGTTTCCTTTTTAGTTTATAATTTAATTTTTTTTTTGACCAGAAAGTTTATAATTTAATTTAGTTTTTGTTAATCAAGATAAAGAGATAAATAAAGATCAGATTAAATACATTTTAGAATACGCGATAATCAAATTTTAGAATGTAAAATCGGTAAAGTCATGTTGTAGTATTGATTTTCTAAGTCACAAATCAAGGTTTCATTTTTTTTTCCTTCATAAAATAAAATTATCAAAGTACCATACATAATCACAGGAGCACATGTCATGCTTATTGCAATGAAAGCATGAATTACTCATTGTAATTTGGACCATCCAGATGGATATTAGATGGTCTGTATTGAATTTAATTTGTTAAATATATTTTTATTAATTTTTTGTTTTAATAAATATAGAATTTAAAATAAAAATAATCTTATAACTAACATATTTTTTGAAAAAAATAAATTTATTATTTAAAAATTGCACACTAAAAATCTTAAATCTAAATTATCCATATCAATTTTTGGATGATCTAGATTGCATTACAAGGATAAATACACGGTATTCATTGCTATGAATATGATGAGCACTAATTGAGTACTCCCATAATCATAGTTATTAACTAAATTTAGTCAGAAGGAAAACAACAATAGCAAATCAACCAACACTTATACTATTGGTGACAGACACATGGTCAACTTGAATATCACAATTTAGTACTCCTCCGGTCCTTAATATAAGACCTATTTAACTAATTTGATTAGATTAAGGAAGTTAGGTAAGTTAGCTAATTATAAGAAAAATCACACATTTTTCCTAAAACACCATAATCATCTTTCTTAATACCTCATCTTCCTCTTCTACTTGACTATAACTGAGGGGGTATCCATAGGGGTAATTTAGAGAAAATTAATAAATATGAGAAATGGGTCTTATATTTAGGACCAAAACCAACTCAAGAATTGGGTCTTATATTAAGGACCGGAGGAGTAATTTCGAAAGATGAAGTGGTGGGAAAAGAACGGACCTGGCTTCTCTCCGCTGACAAGGTCCCTCCGCTGCCCTCCTCTACCCAAAACACTGCCGTTTTGGGTGCAAAATGAGGGGAGCTGATTGCCTTTTTTTTTTGTATTCCTTTTTTTTTTAGTAGCATCTAAAATATTTTTTTGGTAGCACCTAATGTCTCATAATAATTTTTGGTACACTTAATACTCTAAAATATTTTTTGATACATTTAGCATTTTAAAACATTTTTTTCATAAGCATCAAATATCCTAAAATAATTTTTTTTACATTCAGTATTATAAAATATTTTTTTAGTGACCTGGCTTTAAAAAAAAACAAAAATACAAAAAAAAGGGAATACAAAAAAAAAAAAAAAAGCAATCAGCTCCCCTGATTTTGCACCCAAAACGGCAGTGTTTTGGGTAGAGGAGGGCAGCGGAGGGACCTTGTCAGCTGAGAGAAGCCAGGTCCGAAAAAGAACCCAATTAATTTGAAGGACACCCGCATAAGACTAGCAATTAATGGCTAACCATGCTGCACAATAGGCTAGGCAAAAGAAAATTTCATTCTTTGGCTACAAGAGCTTGCTCGAACGGGCGTAAAAGCCAAGCAAAAGGTCAAGTCCACACCTAAAAAAAAAGCTGTCATGAGAGTCCTCATTATCGGAGTTCTTCAAGATATAGCATGTTATTAAATGGAAAAATAGCATGCTATTAAATGACATATTAATTTGGAAAAATGACCCAAAAAAACACCTGTTAAATTTTAAAAAGACAAGTGATGCTGGCTATTGTTATAATGGTTTTGACTATTTTTGCAATGATTTTAACATGTCAAAATCATCTATTTGTAATTTTAAAATTTAACATGTATTCTTTTAATCATTTTTCCTATTAATTTTTACTTATTTTCCTTAAATTAATTAATTGCCTTCTGCATTAAAGGCAAGAGAAGTATTTTTGAGACTTACCATCATGTATAAAGGGTATATAGTTATTTCGATATATTTCCAATTTTCCACCACATTGCGTGGCTATAGCATATATCTTAAGGGAAAGTAAGGCATATCTAAACAGAAATAATTGGCTTGAACTGTTAAAAAAAATTAATCATAATGCGATGACTTCCCGTCAATTATATTTGTATTAATCCAATTAAAATAAGAATAAAATGAAGTTATTTAGCTGGCGGCCTTGTGCCATAAAGTCACTAAACTTGTAAAAATTAAAATAAAAAAAATAATATTGTATCAATTATATTTTAACAAAAAATAAATATTATCATTAAATATTATTAAGACAAATAAAAATATTTTTCATAGTTGTGATGACGTTATTAAAAAATGAGCCAGGGAGTGCGTGTCTCTATACATTCAAACATCTATGCGCATACACACACACACACACACATATAAACACATGAAATTTCGTCAAAATGTCTCAGCAAGATTGAGTTGGGGATTAGCGAGTAGGGACGAAGAGGTCTTCCCCGTGAACTTATACAGCTCAGTCAAGAATCTCGCCGCCCATAATCTGATTAATTCCGCCGGCGCCGATTACCAGAGTCCGCCAACTTATTTTATCCGTTGTTAATCTCGCCGGTATCTATCCTCAACCTTCTTTCAATTCTTAATGGTCGTCTCGCACTGTGCTTCCAAGATCATTCGTTTCATTTGGAATTTTCAGATTTCCGTAAGGAAGAAAAACGATTCTACTCTTCCCAGATTCTTTGCGGCATTTCTTGTTCCAAGAAAACTGAAAGATTGTCACTGACTGCGATCCCCGACGGTAATTATTAATTACAAAGAGTCAGATTCGATCTTGAAAAGCAGAAACGGCGAAGCAAGGGCGGAGGGATCGAAGATGGAGCGTCCAGGAGAACACACAGGTTCCACTGACCAGCAGCCGCCGCCGGAACCACCATCTATCTTGCGCCTAAGGGACGAATATGTGGAACCAGAACGCCAAGAATTGGTTACTCTAGCACCAGGCTCTAATTACCAGTCCCCGCCACAAAACCCACCGCCTCCTCCGGAATCACCACCCTTTCCGTTTCTTCTTCAACAAATGCCTCCATCCTCCTCCTACTCACGATCATCGGAACCACCGCCTCAACTACAGTGTTGCCTTGCTTTACCGTCATCCCAGCGAAATAGCATCTTTATCCAACAACCGCCATTCCTACCAGCGCGGGCATTACCCATATCAGAACTTCATCCTCCTTGTCTTTTACTGCATTCATCGTCCTCACAGTATATAGAATCAGCGACGAATAGCATCTTTATCCAACAGCCACCATCCCTACCAGCGCCGGCGCCACCCATATCACAACCCCATCCGTCTCTTTTACTGCCTTCATCGTCCTCACAGTATATAGAACCAGCGCCGAATAGCATCTTTATCCAACAGCCACCATTCCTACCAGCGCCGGCGCCACCCATATCACAGCCCCATCCGTCTCTTTTACTGCCTTCATCGTCCTCACAGTACACAGAACCAGCGCCGAATGGCATCTTTATCCAACAGCTGCCATTCCTACTAGCACCAGCGTCACCTATATCAGAACGCCATCCTTCCCGTCTTTTACTGCCTTCATCGTCCTTACAGTATATAGAATCAGAGCCGAATAGCATCTTTATCCAACAGCCGCCATTCCTACTAGCGCCGGCGTCACCCATATCACAACCCCATCCTCCTTGTCTTTTACTGCCTCCGTCTTCCTCACGGTATATAGAATCAGAGCCGAATAGCATCTTTATCCGACAGCCGCCACTACTACCAGGGCCGGCGCCACCGATATCAGAACCCCATCCGTCTCTTTTATGGCGTTCATCGTGCTCACAATATATAGAACCCGCGCCGAATAGCATCTTCATCCAACAGCGGCCATTCCTACCAGCGCCGGCGTCACCTATATCAGAACGCCATCCTTCCCGTCTTTTACTGCCTTCATCGTCCTCACAGTATATAGAATCAGCTGAGCCGAATAGCATCTTTATCCAACAGCCGCCATTCCTACTAGCGCCGGCGTCACCCATATCACAACCCCATCCTCCTTGTCTTTTACTGCCTCCGTCTTCCTCACGGTATATAGAATCAGAGCCGAATAGCATCTTTATCCGACAGCCGCCATTAATACCAGGGCCGGCGCCACCGATATCAGAACCCCATCCGTCTCTTTTATGGCGTTCATCGTCCTCACAATATATTGAACCTGCTCCGAATAGCATCTTTATCCAACAGCGGCCATTCCTACCAGCGCCCGCACCACCCACATCACAACCCCATCCGTCTCTTTTAATCCCTTCATCTTCCTCCCAGTATACAGAACCACCGCCAGGATTCCATTTTTCAATGCCTTCATCCTCCCGTCAATCGCACAGAGACAACGGTTCTACCCTAAAGTGGCCGGCGCAGATATCACCAGCAGAACTAGCTCCACCATCAGAAGCCCAAGCTCATCGGTTCGGTGCCGGACGTGCACGTAACGACAATAAGCCGGCATGGGAGCCAACCATACAGCCACCATACCCATGGGCTTCAAACATGAGGGCAAAAGTTTTAAGCCTGGAGGAATTAATATCCAAGAATATCATCGTAATAAGTGGTGACGTTCACTGTATGGAGTGCAAGAAGCAGTTCCAGATTGAGTACGATTTTCCATCCAAGTTCTATGATGTTGTTAGCTTCCTGGTGAATGGTAACGACAATATGCATGATGTGATAAAAGACTGTAAGCTGTGTGGCAGAAGGAAGTGTGTTCAACCAGTGATCTCTGGGAAGAAGAGAGAGACGAATTGGCTTTTTCTGTTTCTGGGACAAATGATTGGATATTGCAATCTCGCTCATCTCAAGTACTTCTGCAAGCATAACAACCTTCCCACAAGTGAAGCCAAAGATCCATTGGTTAAGTTAGCTTATACCGCTTTACACTGTCAATTAGATCAAAAAGCTTATGATCTATACAATCAATAAGCAGCTTTTGGATTGATTGGGCTTTTTGTTTCAGCTTGTTTTGTTTGTGGTTAGTTTCAATTAGATCCGAGAGTATATCCCAGTGAGTGTATGCTTTGTTTTTCAATGTTTAGGATTGTCAATGACAAGTTCCATATAAGGATTAAGTACGACTTAAGATTAACGTTTAAAAAAGGATGTATGGACTCTAGTGGTCTCCATATTCCCTCCATATTATTTGAAATTTCAGAACCCAACATGATATGATTTAAATCCCATAATGTTGATTATTATTTAGAATTATATATTTAATTTAGAGAATTTTCTAATGCCTAACCAAATTCTTTATTCATATACCTAAATATTTATTTACACATTTTTAAAGGTTTTATGTTAATCTTTAATTAGAATACATGATGAAAGTAAATAAATCACGAAATTGTTGATGGAGCTAGACAACTTAGCATCATAGTAGCCTCTCTTGACTGCATGCCTACCAGTTTTTGCCACTGTCCATATTGCTTCATCATTTTGAAAAATCTGTACTAATTCCAATGCTTAATATAAGACCATCATTGACTAATTTGAAAAAAATTAATAATGTTATTAAATTGCTTTAAACTATTTATATTTATTATTTTTCTAAACTAATTTGTTTTACTTATAAGTTAATGTAGTAGTATAATCTAATGATCTATATAAGTATTTTGGAGAGATCATGTACTATGTTATAATTAAGTAATTCAGTAACTTTCTTAAAATTTTCAAACTAGTCAATTGGGTTTTATATTAAAGACAAGGTAGTGTGTGCATATATATTTATGAAAAATAAATTAAGTTATTTGGCCAAAAATATATTATGCCCATCACTGAAATAGCAGAATATGTGGCCGCAGCGAGGTGATTAGTACAGTCATTCCGAACACGATGCTTTCATCCAAACGTTTCAAACTAAATTAAGTACGCGCACAAATAATCTTGTAGATATTTAATGACTTGACAATACGTAATTCATTTTTAGAACTTGTATCTATATATACATATATATGTAATTTGTAATTTTAAAAAAAACACAAAATTTATATTTTTAAAATTAAACAAAGGGGAAATGGCAATTAGGTCCCATTCAAGGGAATTAAATACAAAAAGGTCCCTTGAAATCATGAAATTATTTTAAAGTCCTAAAATTTTTTTTGTATTAAATTTTATTTATTTACTTACCAAATTACCTTTTTTTTTTTTTTAAAGTTTGTATTGACAACTGAAAGAGCAGTGGTTGATAACTCAGGGTACAAGGATTGACAACTATCGTGGCTGGTTTGACAACTTATGGTGTGATATGCTGAGAAAATGTGTTGTCAAACCAGCCGTGATAGTTGTCAATTCTTGCACCTTGAGTTGTTAACCACTGCTCTTTCAGTTGTCAATATAAATTTTTTTTTAAAAAAGGGTAATTTGGTAATTAAATAATAAAATTTATTGCAAAAAGGTCCCTTGAGACTTCAGAATAATTTCATGATTTCAAGGGACATTTTTGTATTTAATTCCCTTGAATAGAACCTAATTGCAGTTCTCCCTTAAAAAAATTATTGATCTAAATTGGACAAATCAATCAAGTCTCAAATTCGAATACCTGTAAACTTGACTGGAAAAAAATTTCAAATTAAAAAAGGACAAAATTTCAAGATAATAAAAACCTAAAATTATTCAGTAGAACAACAATGAGGGAAAATATCATTATAGTAGTTAAAAGTGACATTAAAAACTAGAACAATCTTGAACTTGATATGAAGGCCCTTCATGAACTTCGATAATTTTCCGATGATTTTCTCTTGATCAAAAGATAAATTTCAATCACTTTAAAAAATGCAGTTAGCAATGAAAATTAGTAATAGAATTGGTTTGCAATGAAATTTAGCGATGAAATCCTGTCACCAACAGAATAGCGACAGAATATATAATTTCTCTTCCTAAGCTGATTTAGTGATAAAATTTCCAATAGATTAACGACGAACAGATTTCGGTTGCTAATTGACTGTTTTTCTTTTTGTGAGTGGTGGCCTGTCTTGAGCCTCAACTCTTAGATCAATCAAGGAAGTTTTGCGAAAATTTTAATCATCGCTCAAATTCATCCCCAAAGCTTAACCTAACGTCCAACTTTAAAGTGCAGTTCTTAGATAACTGGTCTCCATGAGCTAATTAAGAATATATATATATATATATGTTGTGTTTGTGTGTGTGTGTATTAGTTGGTTGTGTATGTGTTTGATAATTTGTTTTATCATTTAATATTCTACGCATGAATTACGTTCAAGTGGGCCTTTTAGAAGAAACTCACGATGAACCAGGTGATCGGAGTAAGTATCACGGTGCTCATTCAAGTACAATTTGAATAGTCCGAATTTAAAATTTTTAACTGATAATTTTAAGTTAAAAAAATATATATATTTTAAAAAACTCATAGTTAAAAGAATTTTTTATTTCAATTATGCATCTATTAAAGGAAAAAGTATTTTAACAAATAGATTTTGAAAAAAATAAGAGTACATCGAATGAAATCTCAATCATCTATATTGAATATAAATGGCCTAAATTTGTAGAGCACCATGGTAGTGGATGAGGGTTGAAACTGGTTCCTTCATAATATTGTTTAAAAATTAAAAATTACCTTTTTCAATCTTATCTCAATTTATTGGTTGTATATATTATATATTGGGAAATAAGAGAGATGTGAGGCGCATATTTGAATAAGGGAAAATTAAAGTTGATTTTCCCCAAATTTAAGATAAATTTGATGAGTTAATCACTCTTTCTTAGTTTCAATAGAAGGTTGAAATTAAAATGACTTATATTTTAAACTTACACGAGAGTATAAGATATATAATTGATTAGATATTTTTAAATTTAAAATTTTCAAATTTTTGACCGAAAAATTTATCGATTTAACTATACTTGAGTGAATGGCATGTTTGTCAAGTTTTGGTTTCAAGGGAAAGGACACACCCACCCACGTCCAACAACTCGTCCAACATGGGATATCATTAAACGAAGAGTTCTCTGGAAGCTGGTTTTGCAATATATACTTATTTTCAATGGATGAACTACAATAAATAAATCTTATCAATCTCTTTAATTTGATTACTCATGCAGTCATGCATAGAAGAAATCTTAATTTATCTTGTTTAATATATCTTCATCCCGTGTTATCAAGAAAAAATATCTTCAACGCATGAAGATGAAGTAGAGAAAGACACCTTATCTATCTTTAAATCTGTTTATGAGCTAATAATATAACTTTTTTTTTATTTTTTTTCAAAATTCCTGACATGTTTGTTTTCTTGCATATATACTGAATTGAATTAATAAAGAAAATAAATTCTAACATGATTCACTTCTCTTGAATGAAGTGCTGTTGGTTGTGTTTTAGGGACATCATGGGATGCTTAAATGATTATAATGATATGATGGGGGTTATTATATATATATATATATATATATATTATAGGAATAAGTGTCCGATTAGTCACTTCTGTTAAACCCAACTCTTGTTAGTATATATATGATATGGGTTATATTTACATGCTTATGTGCTGGAAATTTATTTATAATTTGCTGTGTTGATGTGCCTTGGATGCTATTACTTAAACAAAAATATATTAAGGATTCTAATAATATACTGTTTTGAATGATAATTGGAAGCTAGAAAATGATATCTTATCTATCTTTAAATCTGTTGGAGTAATTTAATTTTTAAAAGTATATATCAAGATTCCAATATTAGCTAGAGGCAAACATGAGCAAAGTCACATGAGAAAGGATAGTTTCCATGCATGAGAAGAAGGATGCTCATTAAATTTAAGTCTTTGGAAACTCAAAGGGTTGATCTAGTCTTCTAATTAAGACTATTAGTTTTTATTATTTTATATGTTAATGAAACACTATCAAATGTCGAGATATAAAGTTTAAATTTAAAAAATAATAATGATTGGAACAAATTAAATTAGAAAACTAACTAAAATGAAATAAGAGAACAGCCTAAAGTATTAGAGTATGAAACGTCTACTTCTGCCAAAATAAACTGGACTAGCTTATAGTAGCCATGAACCACAAAAATAAAATGGTTCACCAAAATATATGATACGAAATCAGATAAACTTGTTTAAAGGGAAGCAAAAGAAAACGCATACTCTGACCTATATATCTCAGCTAGCTACATTTTAATTATATAGATCAGAAGCTTCAGGATCTAACTGACAATGTAAAGTGATAAAAGCTAAATAAACCAATCGATCTTTGGCCGCAGTTCTGTGATGGCCGGTATGCTTGCAGAAGTACCTGAGATGAGGGAGATTGCAAAATCCAATCATTTGTCCCAGAAAAAGAAAAAGCCAATTCGTGCCTCTCTTCTTGTCAGATATCACTGGTTGAACACATCTGCTTTTATTACACAAGTTACAGTCTAAATCCTCAGGTTTTAACCAAACCTCTGGTGCTCGATTATGCATCTTGTCGTTTTCGTCAACTAGGAAGCTAACGACTTCGGAGAACTTAGAAAGCAAATCGTACTGCATCTGGAACTGCTTCTTGCACTCCTTACAATAAACGTCGCCAGTTATCACAAGGATATCCTTGGATATTAATTCGTCAATGCTTAAAACTTTTGCCCTCATGTTTGAAGCCCATGGATATGGTGGCTCTATGGTCAACTCCCATCCAGGCTTCTGGTAGTTACGTGCCCGTCTGGCACCAGACCCATGAGCTTGACCTTCTGGTGGTTGAATTTGATCTGCTGGTTCCGGTTGTTCTGGTGGGGATGGCTGCGCCTGCGGTTTTTGGGTTGAAACGTTCTCCATGTGCAATTGACGGGAGGATGAAGGCATTGAAAAATGGAATCCTGGTGGCGGTCCACTGTACGGTGAGGAGGAAGAAGGCAGTAGAAGAGACGGATGGGGTTGTGATTTCGGTGGCGCCGGCACAGGTAAGGCTGGCGGCTGTAGCTGGGATAACGGTAAACCAAGTGAAAACGGTGGTTGCGGCGGGGACCTTGATGAGGAGGAGAATTGAGACAATAGTTGTAAGAAAGATGGGTGGGGTTGAGATTCAAGCGGCGGTTGTGGTGACCGTGAGGTGTTGGCGGAGGAGGATGGAGGAATTAGTTGTAAAAGAGACGGGTGGGGTGGTGACTTCAGAGGCGGAGGAGGCGGTGGCTTTTTTGGCGGAGACTGGTAAGAAGAACCTGTAGCGAGAGTAAGTCGAACCAATTGTTCATGTTCTGGCGGTACATAATCGTCCTTCAGTCGTAAGATAGACGGTGGTTTAGGCTGCGGTGGCATCTGGTCAATGGCTGGTCGCTTGTGGGACCGAATTTCTGCGCTCATGGTTGAGAAAGTGGAGGGAGAAAGAAGAAGAAAGAAAGGCGGAAAGTGGAATGAAACAGAGAGAAGCTCTCTGACATCGGTCCCATAATGGCGGAGGCCGGAGGGGTATTTATATGTTATCATTCATTATATTAAATTTAAATTTCTTCCATTCTATCTTCTTTTATCTTAATCTTTGATCTTTGGTTATTGGATCATGACAATCAACTTTTACTCTCATTTATTTACAACTATTTTTCACTAAATTCAAAATAATATTTTTTAACAAAAAAATTTATATTTCTATGTAACTTTTTTTTTTAATGGCTAACATTATCTTTAATTCTTCATATATAACCCGTGTGTATATATATCGATAAAAGTCACTAATATACATACATACATATATATCTATAGAGAGAGAGATATTGGCCTAAGTATATTTTATTTTTAAGATATGCAATGAATTCGCATTTCGCATTATAATGGCAGCGAATGGAAGGTGGAGACTAATTTTTATTTAATTATTCATATTTTTATTTTTCAATTTTTAAAGGAAAACGTATAAATTAAATTTTGAAAGATGCTAACTCAAATTTTCAGATAATTTTATGGAAAATAAAAACAATGAGTACCATTAAATTTTTTTCGGGTATAACTTAAAGTATCTTCTCAAGCCATTTCAGCAAGTGTGTTTTTTAGATTTGAACTTGTGTTCTCCTTCTTATAGGAGTGAGAGCTAGGGGTAAGCAAACAACCTGCAACCCGGCCAATCCGTAATCAATTATAATGATTTTTGGTGTGACGGAATTTGCAAATTTCATCTCTAGATTCTATCACCAATTCATTGTCTTCTTCCTTTTCTTGGTAATGCCATAAGCTCTTCTCGTTAAATTTAGCCCTAATCAAAGACCTTCCTTGCTTCCAACATTGAGAAAACACCACTTTATCACTGGTAGCATCCTTATCCCAAAATCACCTTCACCGCATTTTGATATCCTTGATTCACTACCCTAAACCACACACATACCACGTGACTGAGGAATTGCTCTCCAGGATGATGAATTGCACAAGAGAAAATAAATTGTACATAAGGGAAGTTAAGTTACACACAAAAAAATGGTTTGCATAAAGTATTAGACAAGGGAACTAATTTGCACATAGGAAGGATGGATTGCATATAATGAAAGTTCAATGGCACCCAAAAAAATACACAAGGGAAAATGGAAAATGAATGCACATACGGAAAATTAAGCTACATGAAGTCCTTAATAAGAATTATTTGTTGATTAATTTCTCAATGAGAAATTTATCCCAATTTTTTCTAAAAATGATTGTATCTGATTTAATAAAATTCAAATTCAAGAAGGCTCCTTGTAATATATATATATATATATATGATCTAATGGAATTGTACGTCGTTGTAATTTACAAAAAGTTGTTGTTAGTTTATAAATTATTTAACAAATGAAAATGATAGATTATATATGTTGTAATTTTTAATTAATATGCAGGGTCAAACTGGACTGAATGAGTCCGATTTGATCCGGTCAGCAAGTCCGATCTGGTATAGTCGGACCCGATTTCATTTTTCTATCATTGAATTGAATTAATAAATCGGAGGGTTGTTAAGAAAAAGAAACAATATGTTTTTTTTTTTTTGCCAGAGAGAAAAAGAAACAATATACTAGTAATTGAAATGGAGGGAGAAAATTTATAAAAGCCCCATGTCCCCCAAACACATTCTTTAATGGGAATCTAGTTTTTAAACTATAAGCATTAAGCCATGTACAACACATCCATGCACATGCAAAAAAACAATACAAAGTGCTCATTTTAATTTGGATGAGAAAGCAAGATTACAACTTGAAAGGAACTAGTAAAAGCGGAAGTAGCTACTCTAAGTTATCTCTAAGGCCAGATAAATATTCAGCTGGTGGGTGCCACACCATAGTCATGTCTTCCATAAGCATGGGCGCCTCCTTGGCGAGATGATCAGCACATCGTATGTTAGCCCGAGGTGTGTATCTGATCTAGATTCCAATTTAGACCATCTAGATTTATTTTAGATGGTTCAGATTTAATTTAAATATTTTTTATATTTTAAATTATTTTTTTATTTTATTAGATACTCCTCCGGTCTTTAATATAGGACCCAATTGGTGAGTTGGTTTTGGTCCTAAATATAAGACCCATTTCTTATATTTATCAATTTTCTCTAAATTACCCCTATAGATATTTCCTCAATCATAATCAAGTGTAGAAGAGGGAGAGGGGTATTAAGAAAGATGATTATGGTGTTTTAGGAAAAACGTGTCACATTTTTTATAATTAACTAACTTACCTAACTTCCTTAATCTAATCAAATTAGTTAAATGGGTCTTATATTAAGGACCGGAGGAGTACATAATTTAAAATAAAGATAATCTTATAACTGTCTTTTTTTTATAAAAAAAATTTATCATTAAAAAAGTGGCATATTAAAAATTTTAAATTTGACCATCCAAATCAAATTTTAGATAGTCTATAAGTACATGCATGGTGTTTATTGCTATGATGAACATTAAATGAGAAGAATCGGTAGCAAGTCTTCTTGTTCTTTAATTAAATCGTGCAATGTAATTGATATTTTTATTTTTATACAATGCATACAAGAATTAATTTATGATAATATAAGGTCAAAGTCAATTTATATTGAATGTAACGTTGCTATTTTTGCATACCTAAAAACAGTAAATGGGTGCATATGTACACTGAACTAATAATGAAGAATTATGGCTGGTCAAAACACAATGAAGAATTATGAAAATTCAAGAGAAGATCCCTAATTAAGGCATAACCTTTTTTTTTTTTTAAAAAAATGATTTTAAGAACATGGACAATGACGTGGAAATGACAACAAATTCAAATCAAATCAGAATTAAGAAAAGAATCCTAATGTTGAAGTTTTCAGGCTGGAACATGATGTTCGAGCCAATCGGTGCATTTGTCGATGGCTTTTCTGAATATATGCTCAAAACTAACAGAACAAGAGGGTCCCTAATCTTGACAATAAGAGCTGCAGGCATAACATTTTCACATACATAAACACACAAGACCCCATATTAACTATAGTTAGGTCCAATGGAAGGGATTTAAGTCCCTTTGAACAAGGTCAGAATTTGAAAAAATATCCTTATTTATGAAGATAGTGAGAATGAGTAGGAAAAAAATATGTTTGAGAGATAATTAATGCAATAATATACTCACTCCGTCTTTTTTTATAACCAACAACTATTATCCTTTTTTGTCCCTAAATATAAGCAACAATTACAAGTTATTTTAAATTTTTGTAACTAATTTTCTAATTTGCCCCCCATTAATTATTTATTTTAATACCCAATATATTTATTATAACATTTTCCAAAATATCATCTCTTTCCATCCCCATTCCCATTATCTCTATTTTATAATTCTCTTTATTATAATAATTTTTTTATTCTTTTTCTTATACTTTCTCTCGTCCTTAAATAAAGGTATTTGGGGAAAAAAACTTTCAAGTTCTACTTATTTATTGTCTTGAACTAACTTCCTGATCCACATGATAGAGTCTAATATTGCTTATAAAAAGGGACAGAGGGAGCAAAATGTAATTAAAGGGGGTAAAAATGAGAAAAATTGATTAAAATTTCAGGCATGTTTTAAAAATTAAAAATAAAATGTGGAACAGCATACACACATATATAGTATACCACTATGATTTTTAATATAAGTCATTTGTAACATATTCTCATATACTAAGAAATGCATTAAATTGACAAGATTTTTTAATTTTATTCTTGTTAAAGTTTTCTCTATTTGCAACTCATTTTCATAGTCATATACTCATAGATATCCCTCCTTTCTTTTTTTCTCTTTCCAAATTCTAATGAGAATTAAGATTGGAAAACAAACATTAAATATACTGCAAGCGGCTCATTTTTTCGAACAAAGCTTTCCCGGCTTACATTTGGTTACATTTATGACCAGGAGTGGTATATGTTTATTGCATTTATTACATTAAACGAGACATTAAATGCTTGCAATAGAGCAATAAAAAGAGTTTGTTAGTTCCAGAAATTCAGTATCAACATCAAGTAATACTTCTCTGGTCCTATTTATAAGTTACTTTCAATATGTTTCACACAGATCAAAGAAAACCTTAAATTTTATTAACTGTAATTTAAAATTTAATAAATTTTCAATTTTATCATTTAATATACATTATATCTCATGTAAACAAAATCAACACAATAATAAATGAAGGGTAAGATTGTACATTTGTGTAAAAAAATTTCTTTTCAGCACCCTATAAATAGGACTAAAAATTATTTGCTCTCTCTACATTATAAATAAGACCAAAGGAGTATATAATATAATGAAACAACCATGAAGATTTATAAGAATCGTCCAACAGAATTCTGCATCTGAAAATCAAGCATCATGCATACTCCCCTCTACTTATCAGCCCTTCTTTTCCTCATTCTTACAGCGAAAACCTCAACAAGTTCTATTGGTGTCCACCACTAACGTAGGAACAATAATGATCAAACCATAGACATAAACTTGACGGCGATCGATATTCACAACGATCTGCCATCAAACTCATCAAGATTCTTCGTTGTAGGAAGCTTCCGACAGACAGAAGCAGGGATTGAACCAGACAAATCGTACAATTTCTTTCCATCGGTGAGCGAAAAGGCGACGTGCTTCTTCATAATTGATCAGATATGTGCAGATTGCATGTTGTTCGATCCGGATGTGGAATATAAGGAACACTTCATATTTTTGTCGGTAAAACTTGATGGCATATATCGTAGTTTGGATCGAACCAACTGGGAGAAGGCTTCTTGGCAACCTGCAGATAAATGCAAGTAGATGCTATTCTGTAGTACAAATTCAAGGTAATAAATAAACAATTTCATGTGTGTGTGTGTGTGTGTGTGTGTCGGTATATATATCAAGTTACGTGAAAGGTTATAAATTAATATCATGAGTTATAT